TCTGTTGCTGTGCTGTTACAATCCATTTCTATTCCATCTTTGTCACCCCACTCTCCTTGTACTTTTTCCACTTCAGTTGTCCACGAACACCACCATCCATGTATAAATTTATTGTATGAGATTAATTGAAAACATATAGAATCCCCTGGGATTTCAGCTTTGAGCAGCAAGCCTTGAATTCATGAGGGGAAATTTGGAGCATGGTTTACGGTTAATTTCGGTTGGTTTACTGGTCTATTTAAACTTGGTCTGCCGTTCGGTTCGAGTTATTTTTAGCTTAATGAGCAAGTTTTCGTATGAGGCGCGGGAGAGATTAAACAAAACTCTACCCGACGAAGGCAGCAATCGTTAAGCGGGAGAATCTGACATCACCACGCGTCTTTCTTCTTAGAACCCACAAAAAAACCGACACGGTTTCCTTTTCCCAATCTTCGACTGCAAGAATTCCCCCATTCTTCTTTGCTTAATAACCAACAGTTCTCCAATTTTTTCCTTCGCCCTCATCACCTAAAAACCAACCAACTGATCAATTTGCTTCCAAAGCTCGAAACTTTCCTGAAAAATGGAGGCTTCAAGGAAAAATCCCCTCTACCCAGAAGTAATCCTCTCCAACCCCGAAAGACCTATTGCCACAGCCTCTTCCTCTTCCGCTCCCTCCGCCCCATCTCTTTACCCGACGATCTACATGTCGGATCTCGCCGAGAATCTCTTCCCCGAGAACGAAGCCGCCCTGGCGGAGCCGGCTCCACACGAGGAGCTTTTGATCAGGATCCCGGGCGCCATAGTGCACTTGATTGAGAAGGACCACAGCGTGGAGCTGGCCTGCGGGGCTCTGGACATAGTTACCTTCAAGCAGGGGGGAACAGTCATCGCGGCATTTTGTCGAATAGGTGGCGACATTCAGTGGCCGCTGGCGAAAGACGAGGCCGCAGTGAAGCTCGACCAGTCCCACTACTTCTTCTCGCTTAGGGTTCCTTCGGGGAGTCAAGAATTCAGTGATGAAGAGGAGGAATCGAGGGGAAGTGGGAATCAATTCGAGGTCTTGAACTACGGTGTTACCTTTGCGTCGAAAGGGCAGGAGGGCTTGTTGAAGGAATTGGATAGGGTGTTGGAGAGTTACAGCGCGTTTTCGGTTCAGGAAGTGAGGGAGAAAGGGATCGATGGGAATGTGGCCAGGGAGACTACGCCAGAGGAGTTTGGGAAAGAAGGGAAGAAGAAGGAGTTGATGAAGGAAAACTCTGCGGCTTATTGGACTGTTCTGGCACCAAATGTGGAGGATTACAGCAGCTCCCTTGCTAGGATGATTGCGGCAGGATCGGGGCATGTGATCAAGGGGATTCTGTGGTGTGGGGATGTGACTACTGATAGATTGAAATGGGGGAATGATTTCTTGAAGAAGACGTTGAAGAAAGGTGACGCTGTGGAGGTCAGTCCAGCAACTCTGAAAAGGATCAAAAGGTGAGACTGAGAATGATCTCTTTCTTCTTCAAGTAATTTGTTTCTAGTTAGACTGGTAGTTGCTGCTAGATTGAACGGGGAGAAGTTAAAAGCTTTACATTGTCAACTGCTTCAATGTAGTCTTAGCCGCCCCGCCAATAAGACTGAAAAAGTTTCTGTTGAGCTTGAATTTTGGTGGTGACGATTGAAATGGGTAATCATCGAGTTCAAGTTATCTATATTTAGGACGAGTGCAGTACTATTTTCTTTTATTCTCAATTCGTGGAATCAAGTTTGACAAGGGTTTCCTGTGATGATTCCGTTTTCTGATTCTCTCAATGTTTGCTGCAGTTAATTGACATCGTGTCTTGTGATTACTTCCAGGGTTAAGAGGCTGACAAAAAGTTCGGAAAAAGTGGCTGTTGGACTCCTATCTGGTGTGGTCAAAGTTTCTGGTTTCTTTACAAGTCCCATTGTCAACTCTAAAGCAGGGAAGAAGTTTTTCAGCTTTTTGCCTGGAGAAATCGTCCTTGCTTCATTGGATGGATTCAGTAAGTTCTTGATTCATCTTTGAATCATTATTTGGGACGGGGATGCTTGTAGGCACTTTATACGGCTGGATCAATATGAATTCTACAGCTGCTGACTGTTGACTTTGAAACTGTTATTCCTTTAACCTTAGACTGCGAAAGAATGAATTGTTTACTATGGGCATTATATTTTCTGCATGGCGCTTCATCTAACCACTTTCTCTTCTGACTTTTGTGATTATGCAGATAAGATTTGTGATGCTGTTGAAGTTGCTGGAAAGAATGTCATGTCAACCTCATCAACAGTCACAACTGGGCTCGTCTCCCATAAGTATGTCTCGTCTCTCATAGTTATATATATTCACTATCATATGCTCGGCAAGTTGGACCGGGGATATTGTATGTCTCATAGTTTCCTAAAACTAGGAAATCAATATCTTAGAACTCGGTGCATGAATGTAGTCATTTATGTGTACGATCCTTCTGAGGCCTCCATCTTATAGGAAGGATCCTGATATTCGGAACGCAGGTTTGGAGAACAAGCAGCAAAGGCGACGAATGAAGGGTTTGACGCTGCAGGGCATGCCATTGGCACTGCCTGGGCTGTGTTTAAGATAAGAAAGGCTCTAAACCCAAAGAGTGCTTTCAAGCCAACATCTCTAGCCAAAGCAGCTGTAAAGGCTAGTGCTTCGGATCTCAAGTCTAAATCCTCGAAGTAAGGATAGGCAGAGTTCGATTGGTGTTGGTTGTTGTTTGGTTTGGTTTTTTTTTTTTTTTTATGTACAAGGGATGGTGGGATTTGTTTGTAACCATAGATATTAGATTTGCTAGTGTTGAACTGAAACAGATTATGTGCTCTCTCCTCATTTTGTAATCAATGGCTTCACCTGAGCTCCAATGTGTAATGCATTAATCTTAAAACACTTCATTTTTATTCATAAAAAAAAAAAAAAAACTTCATTTTCGACATGGAATGGTTCTTGCGTGGGAGGGGCTGTTTCTACTTGTTTACAGCACAGATTTATTCATTGGTGGCTAGTTCAAACCTGGCAAAGATGGTGATACACTTTATTCACTTTACGAGTTATATTCGCATCCTGCTTCACATGTCAAACTCGGCCGGCTTGAGCGAGATGATGAACTCTACTAAAGTAGCATCTCATATTGCAATCGTTGGTTGAGTACTTGAGTTGAGCCACATGGGTTTTCACTTTTGCTGGAGCAGTAAAAGCTTGGATGAGAAAACTAGGATTGTGTTCGCCATTTTGTTAATCTCTGTTGTACCACATTGGAATTTGGATGACAGGATGACTCCAGTTCACTCGAGGAAAAATGTGGGTGCCATCACCTTCATTTGAACGCAAGACTTGAAAAAAGAGGCCCAATAAGCTGTCCATTTGAAACTTGGGCGATTGGGCCACAAAAGGTTTGGCCTTCTCATAGTCTAATGGTTGGAGTCGTTCAGTTGTTTACTTGATAGAAGGTAAAAACATAATAATCGTATGATGAACAAGATCAGAGTTTTTGCATGTGAAACAACACAGCAATGACGTGAAATTGTTTGTAAACTAGGGTTTCTCAACCAATCCAAAAATAGAAGCAGAGAGGAAGAACAATGTCAAGGTGCTTGCCATTTCCTCCGCCTGGTTATGTTTGGCATGGAGTGGAAGGAGAGGCCTTGATTCAGTTGCTAATCAAGGTGATCGTTTCCTTCATAATGAGGTTCTTACACGCACCCTTATGTCTTGCGCTGATGGTTGTTGTTTGCTGCTTGTGTTTTAAAAGTTCAGACAAGAGACGAGAAACAAAAGCAAAGAGAGAAGAGGAGGAAGAGGAAGAGGAAGCAACATGAGTGGAAGAAAAGGAGGTTGTCTGTTGTATTTGATCCACTGGATGATTGTTCTGATAATGGCAACTACGTAAAGATGAAGAAGAAAATCAGGTCGCAATGTTTTAATTAGATTAAAACGTGATCATGAAGCATCGAAATACAAGTGTGGTGATTAAGAGTTGCGACATTTTTTAAGAACATGTAACAAATTGAATATATGCATATGAATATTTGATGTCTCGAGACTGATAATGTATTTGATTGACTCTTTAAGACAAGATTCCAGGGGTTGCTTAGAAGTAACATTTAGACCTTGAGAAGTCTCCACTTTTTATACCAATCTAATTTGGATACCATGAAACTTAGATGCTTAGCATCCTATATTACTATCTTTTTCGTCTCCGTATAGTGGTTATAGTAACTTCTATAGATTGTTTTATTCTACAATATTAGGGTCATGTGTAGTTGATACATTATCACTTAAAAAGGTTTTACTATGCAAATTCTTCGTCAAGTATATAATTAGCTAACATGGATAGTGAACACTATTGTACCAAATATTTATAGGACATTCACGACTATAAATAATTCATAACACAATTATTGTTTTATCGGTTGTGTTTTAGGTGAGATGAAAATTTATTATCTAACTAATTGCATACGAAGGACTAAACTAATCTAGATGGAAGTTTGAGGGACCAATTGACAAAGAGAGTTAGTAAAGGGACTAAATTGACTTTTTAGCATGGTCCATGAAACCGTACCGGACATCATACCGGAAAAGTATCCGGTATGGTATTTTATAGTAAAATCGTGGTTTAATCGTAGTTCAACCGTTAGTACCGTTAAATACCGCCTACCGATTTAGCCTCCGATACTGGTATTTTGTGGTTGAACCACCGGTACAATACGGTTTCATGGACCATGCTTTTTAGTTGCCCATCGAAAACATAAATAAAGGGGGAAGAGCATAATTGCATTGAGGATGAGGATTGTATCTTCATCCTGTCAAACTCGCTTTCGTTAAGCCACACGTCACTCTGATCAATCGTCCAATTGGGAACAAAACTAGGATTCGTGTCCTGATAAACCGGGGAAAAGTACCAATGTATTGAAACTCAACGACCGCGATGGGAGGTTCCAAAGCTGCGATTGAGGTGGCCAAGACGGTCATCGAGGTGGCTGACGTGGCATGGACGGCGATGGAGTTCGGCCACCACCACCTCCACACCCACGATCAAGAAGAAACCGGTACCCAAGCGAAAGCAGAGGAATCACTCTCCTCAGATGAAGAATTGGAGGGCTTCAGATCCGAGAATCGGCGATTGAAGAGTTTGCTGGTGCACAATCTCAAATTCCTTCAGAATTTGTGATTGCCCTCCTCACGTGAGTACCCTTTTCTCAGTTTCTTTCTCGGATGTTACTTTATCGCAGAGTTGAAGTTTGATTTTGTTGGGAAAATGCAGTCTTGCGCAACAGACTTCATTCTACTGTTAGAATATGGGATTTCGAGTGGCCGAGAGCCAAATTGTCTTGCTAATTAGGATAATTAGTGAGATCGTTAGCTTTCTCTGTGAGATCTTGTGAGCATACGATTTTATGTTATACTTATTGTTCTTTGATTGATAATTAGCAGAACTGTAACATTCTGGAGTTTTGGTTTCATCAATTACAACTCTATGCTCGTCTGGCTGCCACTGTGGATTCTGAAAAATTCTTGAGTCAGCTTAAATCTCTTCAAGAGGCAACCAAAAATGGAGCTACTCCTGGATTCCCATTCAACGAGGCTACATGTATCCTTCCTACATATGAAATTTATTGTTTTCCCCTCAGCTCATTGGTGAGGATGTATGCCTTTGGATACATATATTGAGGTGCGCTCCTGTTTCCTTGATAAGGTGATGACTTGCACAATGTGCAAGTTCTGATTAAGATTGACCAAGAAGAGCCTAGTAGGTGGGTATGGGTCACAGAAGAAATGATTCATGGAAACACTGAAGAACATAGTGGAATTGATAATGAGTGTTACGTGGTCATTAACGAGAACCAGGTAGTTGATGCAGTTGCTACCTTTATGGCTAAGTGCATCACTGCAAACCCAAAATCACAGGTATCTACCAAGCTATGAAGGTATTTTTTATGTTATTTTCTTATAACATGTCGTATCTTACAACGGTCCCCTGCTTGGAAATGCAGAAACTTTCCCCCGGGGATCTCCAGAAAGGTGAGTTATCTGCCACCCTCCATCATTTCATTGGAAGCATTCTCTGGAAACTAACCAGTGTTGGATTTTTTTTATTTTTCTTCTCACAATGCTATTGATCATATGTGGAAAGGTGTTGATGATTGTAAATCTAATAGAAGTACTCTCATGTATTGAGGATATCTTAAAGCTCCCAACATCAACTTTCCTATTTGTTTTCTATTTATATGAAAATAATATTCATAGACTTATATCCATTATGTACTCATATTACGAGCTTGTGAATTTGCAGCCGTCACACAAGCTTTGGGTGGTGGTGGTGTTAGCAAATTTGAGAGATCAATGAATATTTGGCATGCTTGGCAGTTGTTTTATGCTCTTTCGACATGGGGAATTGCATTGGCAGGGTGAGTCTTTTTGCATTTACTTTTAGAATGGCGTTATTTATTGATTTTTCTGATGAAATTCAGAATGGCATTCTCAATTCAACATTACATCGTCAATTGATCAAACACACCATGACACTAAATGAACCCCCATTAATGCATTGATGCTAGTAGTTTGAAATGTAGTTCCTTGTTTGTTATGCAACCTAAGTTCATCAAGAGTCAATTAGTTGGGATCTTAGCTCCGAATTAAGCACATTGACATACCTGTAGCACTTGGCGCGATCCAAGTTTTGCATTTTCATTTGCTTCGTCTTCTGGTTTCATGGATTATTAAGATAATGGGCATGGATCTTTACTGAATTAACTATATGGCTATACTCATATTGGATGATGCAGTATGTACAAGACTCGGGCCATGTGGAAATATGCTGTTGTGGGTATTCACAAAACCAGCAAAGTCGTCCTCAAGGCTATGTGAATCAGAGGCAAGACTTCTTGTTTGATGTACATATAACGAACTTGCTTGGGCAGATTTGTCTTCTTCCTTCTCGATTTCGAACTACCCTCGTGTGATTGTTCAAGCTCCTCCCAACTGTGTATATTCTCTGTAAATGTTAGCGGGGGTTAATGTTCACACTTCACAACATTGTGATATTTCAGTTGATTGTTTGATCGGACATCTATTAATAACTGCAATCTTCTGTTGCGTGTCATTCTTTGGCAAAAGATAAAACAAACTATAACAACTCCATATTGGAGTGTATGAAGATAACTGATAGACCATTGATTGCACATGTTTTTACCCCTATTCTTGAGCCGTTTGAGATGTCAATTCTCGTGTTTTAGGCCGATTTCACGCTAGGTTGTTCTTGTTTGTGATATTTCAGGTCCTAGTACGTGAATGAAGGCTTGGGGACGAGTTCGGGGTCGATTGGATGAATCGTCTGGTGGAAGACTGCCAGGCTATGAGGGAGTCTACTATTCCCCAAGAGTAGTTGGACTTCATCGCCAATGCTCGGCGCCTTGATCCGTACAGCAATACATATAATGAGGGGTGGCGCCAGCATCCCAACTTTGCTTGGAATAGCAACACCACTAAACCACCTGGTTTCCCAGCACCAGCAGGTGGTTTTCAGCAGAGGCAGCCTTACCAGGCTAGACAGGGGCGAGTTCCACAGCAGCAGCCTTACTAGCCTAGGCAGGGGCAGCCGTTGCAGCAGCCGCAACGCCATTATGTCGAGCCTGTAGCAGCTCCAGCTCCAGATAATCAGATGACGGAGCTGAAAAACATCTTGGCGGTATTCATGACTACCAGCCAGGCGAATTTTACCAGAATAGACCAAAGCATCGCCTCGTTGGAGGCGGGTCAGAGGAACCAAGGTGCCATACTGCAGGACCTCCAGCATCAGATTGGAGGAATAGCCCGCCAGAATAATACCAGGGCACCGGGAACTCTGCCTGCCACCACTATCCCTAATCCTCGCGAGCCTCACCAGCAGCTGGATGCCATCTTCACCATAGTGGCAGGCCAACATCAGTTGTACCCGGCCCGGTCAGACAGGAGGAACCACTACCTGCTCCAGCACTTCCAGCCGACGATGCAGAAGTGAGGGTGGAGAAGGAAGCCCCTGCTCCCAAGCCACAGTTAGTGGTTAAGGAGCATGTACCCCAGCTTCCCTTCCCCACTCGCTTACACAAAGACAGGCTGGAAACTGAGTTCGCCAAATTCATGGAATGTTGAAGCAGGTCAACATCAGCATGCCGTTCGTGGAGACACTATCAAAAATGCCCAAGTAGGCCAAGTTCATGAAAGACATCCTCACAAACAAGAAGAAACGTGGGGATCTTTCGACAGTGCTGCTGAGCGAGGAGTGTTCTGCTATCCTGCAGAAAAAGCTGCCCGAAAAGCGCAAGGACCTAGGGAGTTTTACTATCCCTCTTACTATTGGCAGCATGCATGTAGGCAATTCCTTGGCGGACCTAGGCGCTAGCATAAATGTCATGTCGTATAAGTTGTTCAAAAAGCTAGACTTAGGTGAACTTAGCCCTACTAGGATGAGCATTCAGCTAGCTGACCGTTCCATTGTGCATCCTAGGGGTATCATCGAGGATCTGCTTGTTAAAGTAGGCGCATTCACATATCATGTTGATTTTGTTATGCTGGATATAAATGTGGACGTGCCTTTGATTTTGGGTAGACCATTTCTCACCACCGCCAAAGAACTTATTGATGTGCATAGTGGTAAACTGATCTTGCGTGCTGGGAATGAACATGCTACTTTTTCTGTTTCTGAATTAGATCATTGTGATATGCCTGCTGTCACACCTATGTATGCTATTTCTCACCAGGTACACGAGCCTGTCGTGTATCCCTCTGTGCCTCTCGTTTTGTAGGATCCCCCTCTCACGCCTTCGCCGCCACTCCCTTCAACCTCACCGCCACACAAAAAGATCAAAGAGGAGTGGCGGCCGAAGCAGCAGGTGGCTAAGCTTGCTCGGAAGAAAGGTGGCGACCACTATGAGCTGGTCCCACCTCCTGAACCACGACCACCCTGGCCATCCGAGTACTCACTCGCTTGCATCCTGCTGGATGGCCAGGTCGAGCTGACCAATGCTGGTAGTTGCACCCGTCGGGTGCATGGCCACCATCTGAACCTGTACCTCAACAGCGATGTGGATTCGCTCTTGGAGGCACCTGTTCCTGCACCCCTCTGAGTATCCACCATGAGCGTCCAGCTAAAAGACGGTAAAGAAGCGCTTGTGGGGAGGCAACCCTACCATGGTTTTCATTTATTTCTTTTGTTTTGGGTCGGATTGCCAACTGGTTTGGTTTTGGTTTGTTTTCTTTTGTTTTGGATGATGTAATATTGGGCTTACCATTGGACCTATCGTATTGTGTTGGAGTTCTTCTGTTTTTCCTTTAGCTGTGCCTGTGTCCCTGACTGGTCCCCTCTCCAGTCCTTTTCACTCAGACTGGTCCCCTCCCAGTCTCATGTAGTCCGTGCACACCGGTAACATCGTTCCCCTTATCTTTTCCTCTTCTCCATTGAGGGCAATGTCGATCTTAAGTGTGGGGGGGATGTTTCTCTTTTGACTGCATTAGATCTGTTTGTGTGCTTGGAGCCTAGTCCACTGTCTAAATCTTTAAATTTGAGGGCTCCAAGTACGTGTTTCCATGCAAATTGCCTGCTCAGTATGCTTTGAATTGACAGTCTCTATAGTAATGTGCAACCTAGGGAGGTAGTGTAGCACTATGGAGGATGTTGAAGTATAAGATTTTTCCTATCTAGCTCTCTGTTGTGCCGGTTGATTTTGTGAATTAGTGGAGTTAAGACCGTTGAATTCATGTGGTAATGGTGACTCTGTTTGAATTATGTTGTGGACTCGTGTATCGAACAGGGTGCTCATGTGAGAAATGAAAAGCAGTTGATCCTCCATGTCGAAATCATCAAAATCCTAAACATGGGGCAAGCCCAACGTGTGTGGCACCGTTCATTGCACGAAATCGGGTTTTGGAGGAGATTTTAGTGATCCTTTTTGGGGTACTCCTACAAGGTGAAGCTAAGCTGTCTCTAGTACGAGTAAAACTTCCACCCGTTGAACGGTTTGCCTACTCGAGGATGTGTTTTTAAGGGCACAGATAGAGCTTCCGACCCCCCTTAATTTCATTGACCCTCCACACGAGTTGAGGAAAAGGAGTTAAAAGAAGTACTCTGCCGAGCGCCAGGTGTACAGAATGCTTTTGCTCGACTAATAAGGGTCGACCATGCAAAAGACTGCAGTTGGAACCCCGCCAAATGAAAGAAAAAAAGAGGGAAAAAATGTAAATGAAAGTGAGAAAGAGGGGTTCCAACGGTGAAATAAAGTGAAAGAGCACCCCGGTACCACGAGTCCTTGGTTATGAATGGTGTGAGCCCCTTTATCCATGAACTGACTGTCTTACTTCTACTTCTTCTCATGATCCTGGCTTGAGTCTAGTACTCGCATTGAGAGAGATAAGGGACGTCTTAGAAGACCAGTTGACCTCGTAAGCTACTTTATGATCTAGAAAATCCTCTACCGACAATCGGGGTTGTTTGTTGCTATAGAGGTCTGGAGAGCTGCATTGGTTTGAGTTAGGTTTGCTTGGGGACAAGCAAACGGTTAAGTGTGGGGGAATTTGATAGACCATTGATTGCACATGTTTTTACCCCTATTCTTGAGCCGTTTGAGATGTCAATTCTCGCGTTTTAGGCCGATTTCACACTAGGTTGTTCTTGTTTGTGATATTTCATATCCTAGTACGTGAATGAAGGCTTGGGGACGAGTTCGGGGTCGATTGGACGAAGATTGGACGTTGGGCGAGAAGCTGAGGAAGCCACACGGGCACGCCTAAAACCCACACGGCCGTGTGACATGGCCGTGTGGCACCAAATTGCACGGGCAAGTTACACTGGCCGTGTAGGGGACCTTTTGTGGCCGTGTGGAAAGTCCAGGGAGCTCACACGGGCAGCCTGGAAATCCACACGGCCGTGTGGTTTTGGCCGTGCAGCAGGCCTGGAAGTCACTTAATCGGAACTCCGCATTTTGACACTCACACGGGCAGCTGGGATTTGCACACGGTCGTGTATCCTGGCCGTGTGATCGGGAATTTCTGATTTTAACCCAATTTCCAGCCAAAGGAGGGGGGTTCCGAGTTTTAGAGAGAAAAAGTGCGACCTAGAGAGAGAAAGTGACGAACTTGAGTCTTCAAGTGTCTTTGATCGATTTCCATCACCATTGGAGCCTGGATTGAGCTTGGAGAAAATCTGATTGAGTGCCAGAAGCAGATTATCATCCTTCACAGTATGGTTTCTGCATCTGAGCTAGATTTCCCATCTCTCTATGGAGTAACTTTCTTATTCACCTGGGTATGAAGAACCCTAGATTTGTGTGTTAGGTCTGATTGTATGAACCCAAGTACAGATTCTATGATTTGATTATATTCAATTGAGGTTTGAATTGTTGAATGGCATGAATCCTGATCAAATTCATATTATTTCTGCTTTGACCTAAAATGAGAATATCTGCATAGGTTGATAGAGCATCCTTGATTGAAGGTAGTGAGTTGACGACTTTAGTCGAGGAGTCAATTCACTATTCTGTACCGAATTTACTTCGGTAGTGGAGGTTTAGTTCGTTAGGGCCTTAATCTGTTTACTCCGGTGAAGGTTAGTCGCCCCCTGGGGACTCAGATTGAGAGGGTCTGGAGACCTTTAGTCAAGACTCCAGACTGTTTAAGAACCTCCCGCAGTATAACTATCATTGAAATTGAACTTGGTAAATTACAATCCGGCTTAACGGCAGTCTAGGGGGAACCATATCCGGGTGACCTCTCTCGACTTGAAAACAACTCTTTTTACTTGCTTGTTTGGACTTGCACTAAAGTTTCACCGCTAGATAATAAGAACTCACTGAGTAGTCAGCACATCTAGGACCCGGGTTGACATTAAAACCCAAACCCGCTATACTACACTTTAGGAAGTGGTTACACTTGGCCATTCTCTAGAGTAACGGTAGGAGCGAGTCAGTAACAACAAAGACTAATTTTTCCAGTGAAAACTTTGTATCACTCCTAAAAGTCAGCTCCAACAAGGAACCGCATGGCCAAAATTGGCAAAGTGGTGACATAATAGTTCTTGGATCTCCTGCGAGCGAGCATTCACACGGTTCTTCGAATTCCAATAAAAAACTCAATTTTGTGGAAGCTTTAAGAGCATTCTTCTGTTCCAGAGAAGGAGAAAGTCTAATGGCAAAGCCTGGACGTCTATCTCTCATCTAGCTCTGCAATTGTGGTTTGAATTGATACAGATTGACAACCTATCAAAACGCATACGTGGATTAAGTACTCATGCGTAAACCAACTATGTTGCATTGAACAATGGGAAGAATGACAAGCTTTTACTTGAGAGACTAAGCTTCTAACAAGGTCTGATGATTTTATGTTTCTGGGGACTTTCTCTTGCGATCTGATGAAGCATCTGACTGGGCCTTACCAAACACCGACCTGCCCCACGCAGATAGTCGGAGAGATGATCAAAATATCTTGGTCCACGAAACCGTAACGGATATCGTACCGAAAAAGTAAGCGGCATGATATTTTATGATAAAACTGTGGTTTAATCGTAGTTTAACTGTTAGACCATTAAATACCACCTACCGGTTTAGCCTCCGATATTGGTATTTCGTGGTTAAACCGCTGGTACGGTACGGTTTCATGAACCATGCAAAATATACAACTAACACACCAAAAATAACGATGTTGGAGGAGATGTCTCGTATCATAGAGAGATTGGCAGGGTTAGACCTAGGTAATGTGAAAGTACGTACCCACAAGTTGAACATTTGTCGTGATGCTTACAGAATATGGACAAGCAAACAGAACATACATAGCTCATGTCAATTGTTGTTTTATGGCAGAAACATCTGCAGCAACATAGAACTAAGTGAGTTGCTGCTTCATGATTGAAATCAATGACGGCAAAGAATTGTATGAAAAGAGAACAAACAAAATAAAAATCACTCACAAAGCACGGAAATCTACACTAGCTGGCCTTAGCAGTTGTAAGAAGCTTCTCGAGTGCAAGTCAACTGCAAACACAGTCTGCAGATGTAATCCAGTTTATACCAAGTCCATTTTATAGCTGTAATTCTACATGGGATGTCACTATTGCAAAGTAAAACATATTGTCGTTCTATAAGAAAGGAGAAAGAGACATACTGCTAAGTATTAATACAGCCCTTCCAAATGGTTGGGTTTAGCATATACACCTCCAATTATTTATGAAGCCTGTGGAGATAAAGATTGATCAGATATCAATAACTATCTCCATCAACAAAAGAATATCATGCATAAGGATTTATTACCTGCTTCAAGAATGCAGAATTGTGAGAACCAACATAACAGCAATCTAGTGGCACCTGCAGCAGCGGCAATTAAGAGTGTTTAAGTCAAGTATCTCTGAGTTCAAACTTTGACAAGACGAAATCGGGTTTCGAAGTAGTAAAACCGCTCAGAGCTAAACAAAAGCAGACAGAACCATTAAGTTATTTGAACAGAAAAAAATTGTTGCATTGTAGTACCATTGAGCGCTGTGAAGAGAAAATTGCATTCATTACTGACACGTATCTGGATGATCAAAAAAAGGGTCAGAGTGAGATCCAAAGGGGGGAAAAACAAGCGACTTGAAGGAACAAAGAACACACTGTTCAGATCCATCTAGAGATCCCTGCAAACACAAAATCTGCACTTGTCTGTCAGTGCTATGACCAAAGGAGAAAAAAATGTTGCCATAGGGTATATGCAACCATGGAAGACGGAAGAAAACAATGATTAAATCCTCATGAATTTCAACCAATATTTGACCTTATTTATCATGAGTTTAAGCATCAATAAGCAGACTAGAGGAGAGGGGTGTACAAGGAAAACATTTCAAATATTCTCCATGATAAGAAAAAGCTCATTTGAAGAACAAGACACATCCACTTATATAATAATTAGCCCATACAGCATCAGTTGGAAGTGGTGTCAAACAAGCAGATTGATTGTAGCGGGAGAAATGAAAAGGGAGGAAGACATGGAAATTTTAAATGCCAGCTTATTGCAGCGGACAATTTTAACATGTTATACGATGTACATCATTAAGCATGTAAGCTGATATAATGCCGCAGACAATATCAGCATGTTTAGGTAATCTCACACACACTAGTACAGAATTCTATGAATTCATTTAGACATTCAAATTCTATACAACTAAGAATGCAAAATACAAGAGAATGAACTACAAAAAACCCTGACAAAGTAAAGACCAAAACTACAGAAAAAAGATACAACAGAGGGCCATCGAGAGTGAACCAGACAACAACGAAGACACCCTCTTCTCCGGGAAAGCTGCCTTCTTAGCCCCTGAATTCTCATCCTTACTCACGAACTCCTCTAATCTTTGTAATACAAAAGAATACAAAGCAAGCAATTCGTCTTCCCTGCAGACCTGATCTGTATCCAACGACGAGTCATAAATGTAATCACAGCTATGATGCCCAGCTGCAATGACCACGATTTGATTCAGTTGGCTTAGTCGCACAATTAAGTCGAGAAATACCAGTAGCTGAAGGGAAATGCACAATAGATAACCCAGTTTGTTCAGCAATTAGAAAGGGCTAGGGTTTCTGGCAGTAAACAGGGGAGCGAGTGAGAGATCTACATGGGAGACGAACTGGTGGAAATTAAGAGAAGACGATGATGTGATCCAGAAGAATGGATTGGTATCGATCAACACAACCAATAACCTAACATCATCTGCAAAGTAAAGTAATGACCTAAACAATGAGTAGTGTGTACAATTATTCCCTCCTTACGTCGGACAATAAAGGGGAACAAAAGTACAAATCGTGCAAATTGACAGTGAGCTATAACGGTTAGAGCAAGAAGTTTACCCAAGATTTGCTTGGACGGAAGCGAAGCCATGGCTGACGACGATGGTGGACTAGTGAAGAAGTTTTCCGCGGGAATGGCGAGGAAGACTGATGCTAGTGAGCAACCAGCGGGCAGGCTACGAGCCCAGACTCAATAACTCCCTCTATCAATATTCCCCGAGATTCCGAGGGACCAAAGTTTGGGCCTCCAAGCTATCAGCCCAAATTTACGCGTTCTGAAATTTTATCTGCAACCTAATAAATGGAAAGCTTTTGTGATCAGTGCCGAGAAACGCCCGCAGGTTGTTTTGATGGGGGAGTACACCATTTTGCATTCCTAGATATTAGAAAATGACTCAAATGGTATATTGCAACAGTAAAACTTGCTACTTTTCTTATTGTAAAATGAGATTTTATCAAAATAACTTGTTGTGAGATATTACGGACAAAATGCTCATTCAAAGGAACAATAAGTGAAAATTTAATTTTGAAACTATTATTCATTCACATTACCGTTGAGTTTGCACACACGCATCAAATATATCTTATGCTCTCATCAAATGTTAAATATGAGTTATTATCAAGGACTCAAATCCACAAAATCTTTTAATTAAATCAAATCATCAAATCAAACACTACTATATAGACGTTCTCCTCCAAGACCCACACGATTTCATTTTTGCTGGCTTGTGCGCAGCTCACGGAATGACTCTTTAGTCCTTTCCTTTAATTCAGAAGATGGGCCTCTAGGCCCTCGGATTATTTCCAAGCAAGCGATGACTCCTAAAAGTTGGACCCATTTCTACTCCTACCACATCCAGGCCTTCACATAAATAAATACAATTAGACTGCATCAATATCATTGTAAAAGGTAAATAAATTAAAGAAGATGAAAAGAGAAAGCAATCTTTGGATCGGGTGTAGTATTTACCTTTTACAATGATATTGATGCAGTCTAATTGTATTTATTTATGTGAAGGCCTGGATGTGGTAGGAGTAGAAATGGGTCCAACTTTTAGGAGTCATCGCTTGCTTGGAAATAATCCGAGGGCCTAGAGGCCCATCTTCTGAATTAAAGGAAAGGACTAAAGAGTCCTTCCGTGAGCTGCGCACAAGCCAGCAAAAATGAAATCGTGTGGGTCTTGGAGGAGAACGTCTATATAGTAGTGTTTGATTTATTTAGTTTCTACTGTTTCTCCTACGGGTATTTGGGTATACCCGTACCCGTCCCATTTTTTAAGAGTTACGAGTACTCATATTACCCGTAATATTATAAACGGATGGGACTTGGGATTGTACATTCCTAATATGGGTACCCGCGGGTTACCCCTGAATACCCGTTTGGGTAATATGGGTACCCGTTATACCCATTCAATACAAATGCAGAAATTTAATTCAGCCCAGCCCAATTCAAAACCCATTGGCCATTTCGGCCCTTACCCTTACCCGTTCAATTTCAATTCTCCTTTCACTCTTTCACTGACATGTTAGGTGAATTAGTAGAGAGAGTTGGGATGTGTTTGAAATGAGGCAACGAGTGCCCATTTACAGCTTGGGATCATTGTGTACTTAATTAAGGAACTTGGATCATCCCAATATTGCTCCTAATTATTCTTCTTTGCAGGACAACAGCAAGTGAAGGACAGTTGCAGCTGCAGAAGGGAGAATGGCAGCAGCAGCCTGCAGAAGGGAGAACGGCATCAGCATAGCAGCCTGGAGAAGGCAGAACTGCAGCAACATCAGCTTGCAGAAAGTAGCAGCATGTCTCCCATTTGGTTGTGTTGAATGAAACTTCTTTTTTGATAATTTGGTGTTTGGAATGATTTATTTCTATGTGTTGTTATTGTTCATAAATGTGTAATTTGCAAACCAAGTATTTGTAATTGGGATGTATTTTGTGTCTTGTGATTGTTAAGAAATTACAAGTTAAGTTTAAACTTTTGTTAAAATTTTAGTGGTTTAAATTTTGGGTATTTATGGGTAGTATGGGTACCCGTTATCCGTCCCGTACGGGTAATGGGTACCCATTTCCTATATGGGTTTGGGATATGGGATGGACTTTGGTCTCCAAATGGGACTGGATACCCGTTTAAAACGGGACGGGTATCCCGTCCCGTCCCGTTGCCCACCCCTAGTTTCTCCTATGAGTCCTATCCTGATTTGTTTATTTTAATTGGTGTGCCGGCATCATGATGCTATAATTATTTTGATTTAATTATTAGATGGTCTATCATATTATATACCAAATTAGTTCATATTGATTGTTCAAGAAAATTTTCTCAAATATACGTATTTACCTTATATATACAGTTATATACGTATATATGATTGATTGCTTTCTCTTGCATTTGCTTTGCTATTACAAAAGATAATACCCATGGTTAAAAATTTGAATTATAATTTATACTTTATACGGGTATGAGAATATGAATAGAGTAGGTAGTTAATTAAATTTTGAAGATTAAGGATAGTTGGTTAATCAAAGGAGAATATTATTTTTTTATATTATTATACTGGTATGAGCACTGTTGTCAAAATCGTTCTTTAAAGTTTAAAAACTTATGCTTTTATGCTTCTATATTACAAAAACACTTTAAGCAGAATCGCAATTTTTATAACTATTATAGTTAAAAATGCGTTTTAAAGTTTAAAAGCTTACTATTTTACCTTCTAGATCACCAAAATCCTTCTAGGTAAAAAAGTGTTTTTGACTACCTTGGGTATAAGAATATAAATAGGATGGGTAGTTAATTAATTTTGAAGATTAAGGATGGTAGGTTGATAAAAGGTGCATCTTTTTTATATTAATATAATTCTATGAGAATATGAATAGGATGGGTACCTAATTAAATTTTGAAGATTAAGGATGGTTGGTTAATCAAAGGTTCAATTTATTTTTACAAAAATTATTAGCATTTGTTTTTTATATACCAGCAGAAGGTCCGATTAATATTGATAAGTCTCTATCTGAAGTACATGAAAATTTTATGATGGTATGGAAATCGATGAACTATCCATTGTTTAGAATCTCTCCAACTATTTTTTATTCGTTGAATACTCTCCAACTATTTCATATGGCTTGATTTTACAAAACTATTACTATCTATTTAAAATTTTCAGAAATTAATGCACATAAACCAATGTTGAAGAGAATTGACCTACCATTGAAAAAAATAGCAAGAAGAAAACATGCTCTTTATATATGGCAAAAGCCTATACATAGAATATTGTCAAAATTCATACGGGCAATCCATTGATTTCATGTTTGTTTTCGATTTATATGGTTATCAAATTCTATGTTGAATGCTAAGATTTCTTATTTTACTAATTCCTACACAAGACTTTTCAGGTTTATTGATATTAGCAGTATTTCATTTTTCTTCGTGTATTATAATGTTAGAATTTTTTTCAAATGTATTTCTTATATTGAAGTTTAATTTTATTGTGATAGTTATTTAAGTGTTTGTCATTGGAAATCTATCATATAAATGTGAATATTATGGAGTTACGATTGGAAGGGCGGAAATAATACCAAACCCACTAGAAATTCTAATCAACCGAAGTTTTCATTGTGTTGCAAACAATCAAAGTGAACCTCCCTCCTCCAGAGGTTTTGAATATTCTATTGCAAACAAATATTTAAATGCGATGTCACCTTTTGGAACATAACATATGGTAGTGGGGTCGTCACATAATTTTGTTGGAGGTAAATTGATCGATTTATAAATTATGGATGCATAATATATGTTTATTCGATTGAAGGTCAAGTAAAACATCTAATCGGTAGCATGTTACGGACTTGAT